AATCACCATCCTTTTGGAGTTATTCTTCTTAATGAACACTTTTTTTATAATTATTTTCCATTCCATAGTCCTTGATATAATCTCTTATCACTACTACAATTTTTTTACAATGGTTGGGAGAAGAATATTACTACAGATGGAGGTATATGGTAACAAAGGGCGGGGTAGTATGTACCCTCTTTACCACCACGGGTTAGGAGTCGTGGTAAAAACAGAATATCACGTAACATATCACCACAGTTGTAAAAATCAACCGTAGTAAAAAATGGACCCAGTGCTAGCATTTTGGGAGATTTTCAATATTTCACCATGGGTGTATGTTCCAACTGTAGTGAAATACTTAACGTACAACTTTTCACCACTGTTATAGCTTCTAATCATGGTGATATATTCACTTGAGTTTATTATAACTTATATGGAATACTTATTTCATCAACTGCTCACTAAACATATAACCTTTTAATTTGATTTAAAAATTAACAATATGGAAAATTAAGTTATATTAGAAGAACAAGTTACACTAATAAATGTTTTTTGAGTTTTCTGCAATCCATTATCTGTATCTCACTCTTTAATAGTTAGAGTTTGCTTCAATGATTCTAATTCTTCAACCAACACTTCCTTGATTACTAGTTCATTCTACAAAATATTAATAAATTTGTAGAATGAATCAGTAGAGAAGGAAGTGTTGATTGAAGAACTAGAAATATCAAATTAAGTTCTAACGGTTAAAGAGTGAGATACAAATAATGGGCTGCATATTGCTCATAAAACACTAATCAATGTAAGTTGTTTTCTAACATAACTTAATTTTTCATATTATTATTTTCTAATTCAATTCTAAAGGTTATATATTCAATGAGGGGTTGATAAAACAATTAAACCATATATGATATAATAAACTCATCTTCTAGGACATGTTGGATAAATGAATTAAAAGCTGCAATGTACAATGAATAACATTAACAATAACATAACATACCTATACAAACACATCATACAATAACACAAACAACAATATTTATTACAAAAAACAACAACTTACCTTAACAAAATAACAATATACCTAAAAACAAAGCAACATACTTTAACAAAAACATCTAAGATAACACAAACAATAACATTTATCTACAAAAATAACAACTTATCTTAACAAAACAACGATATACCTCAACAAAAACAAACATTCTTCGAAAAATATCTAAAATAACACAAACATCAACATTTATCAACAAAAATAACAATTTATCTTAACAAAAACAACAATATACCTCAACAAAAATAAATATACTTCAACAAAAACATTTAAAATAACACAAACAACAACATTATCAACAAAAACAAAAACTTACATTAACAAAATAATAATATACCTCAACAAAAACAATCATAGTTAAAAAAATATCTAAAATAACATAGAAAATAACATTTATCAACAAAAACAACAAATTATCTTAACAAAAACATAAACACACTTCGACAAAAATAACTGCAATAACAAAAATAACAACTTTAATAAAATAACAACATACATAAACAATAACTCGAACTCTTTACTTATCTCAACAAAAACAATAATATAAAACCTATAATCTCATCTTAACAAAAAGAAAAACAATAAACCATATATTGGACACATATTTAGAAAAAGACAAATGTTTCACATATATTTTGAACAAGAAAAATAAGAAAACCAAGACATATATTTTGAACAACAATAACATCATAACTAAAAAAATAAATGGTGGGAATTTTTTCACAATGTACATTTCCTTGAAAAGATTCGTGGAAAACGAAGACAAAGAAATAAGTTACTTCTTTCGTCTTGAAAGGATTCGAGACATATTTTCTTGATTCATAGTAGTTGGAAAAGTTACGTTGGAGTTTTGTAAAGATATGATGGAGTTTTGAGTGATTGGGATAAGATGAGAGAAGTACGAGTTTCACTTTGAGTGTAGTCTATTCTGAAGTAAATTAAGTTAGCTTATATAAGTAAAGTATTTCACCACGTTTGGTAAGAGAAACCATGATGAATTGTCCTGATATTTAACTACGGTTGTTAATATGGATAATGGTGAAAATTCTGTAATTTTTATTTAAAAATAGAAATTGTTGGTGTTGGAATTTGAAGTGTGTCACTACTTCACACACACACACACACACACACACACACACACACATATATATATATGACAACGGTTGTTGAGTTGGACTGTGGTGATATGTGATTTAAAAATAAGAAAATTAAAGGCACCTAACGAATATATATTACTTTGGTTGGATAAGTGACCGTAGTAAGAAATATTTACGAAATGTATATTTTGTAGTTGTGTATCATCTCCTCGTTGGTAAACATCACCCCTAAATGAAACTTCACCTCATCCCCACTCTTATAAGTTGGAAACTTAACTACCTCATCATCATCATCACTCTCAGGAGGGATGTATAAATGATCAGAATTTTTAGATTCTTCATGTTCCATATCAACTGGTACTTGTTATTTGTTACCACTAGAAACCTCACCTAAAGTCTCAGGGGGTAATACATTAATCCTGTCCATCTCCTCATACTTTTCGCTAAAGGGAAGCTTACTATTCTCAAAACTATCCTCACTTGCCACATAATCCTCATCAACATTACCATCACCGCTCATTTCTTCAATATTTTCATCATTAACTTCAACATTCTGGTCATCAACCACATTACTATCACCACTAATTTCTTCAACATTTTCATCAATAACTTCAACATTATGATCACCAGCAATATTAAAATCACCACTCATTTCTTCAACTCCTTCATCATTAACTCCAACATTATGCTCATCAACAACATTACAATCATCATCAATTTCAAGGGTCTAAGACAATGAGAATTATCTACATTGTGTTCTACATATACATTTATTACCTAAAATCCTATGACATCTTTGGCAAACTACAACACATCACTATCATAATTCAAGGGTCTAAGACAATGAGAAAAGTTGAACATAAGATTACAATACCACACACACCTTATGACTTTATAACTCTCACTTTTAATCAAACTTTTCAAATCCATGTATGAGATGTAATCCACATCCCACTTCTAATTCATCTCAAATACATTTCCATCAACATACCACTTAAAATGTTTAAGAATTAATCTCTCCATATTGTGTATTCTTAACTTAACCTTATAACTCTTAGTTAACATGATAATTAATCCAAAAAGAATGGAATAAATTAATATGCAATGAGACCACAACTTAACGTTAAAAAAAGATGGTGAACCACATAATAAAACAAGAAAATAGTTGGGACCACAGGTTAACATAGAAAAATTATGGTGGATCACAAGTTAACATATGAACGACACAAGAAAACAAGTGGGACATGATGACATTCCAAAAGGAACAACAAAACATACTTTAAACAGAACTTCACTTCTTCACTACTATTGAAACTCCCCTTGCTCATCTCCGTGAACTTAAATTCCCAATAAACAATGGTTGTAAATACATTTGAATAATGGTTGCGTGCAATGAGATGGTGATTGAGTTTCGTTTCGCTTGAATAACAATAGTGAACGAAGATAAGAGATTAGGGAAACGAGGGATTGTGGTTCTTTGTTTTTCTTCTTCTAGAAATGAGAGATTAGGGAAATGTTTCTTTTTGCAAATTAAAATTAAACAATATTTATATAAATTGGAATATAAAACGTTTTTTTTTTACTAATTTACAAAAGAGAAAAAAATATGCACTAACAATATAAAATATTTTTACGCTGTCAACTAATCACTAACATGTATCCTGCAAATCACATGTTTAATTTTAAAATAATGATATGACATGATAAAATGTTATAATTCAGTTAGATGATGATATAAAATTAGTTTACACGGTACAAAATAAAAAATAAAAAATTTCAATTAAAAATGAGATATATCTGACACGGACAGCAATATCACGAGGTTAGCTGTGCAAAATTGGAAAAAAATCAACTAAATTTAAAAAAAAAATAAAATTGAGAGATTAAAAAACTTATTTTAAAAATGGATGAAAGTAAAAGTTAAAAATCAGAACAGACTTACATTTAAATATATTTTTAATTTAAATGTTGTAGATATAGTTAATGAAAGCTGCTTAAATTGTTAAAAAAATGACATATTTCAAAAGTCATAGGTTCAATTTATCTTCTGTTCTCTTTCTCTCGTGATCATCCTTTTATGGTTAAATAAAATCATTCAACTCACCTAATTATTTTTATTTAAAAATGTGGCGATATTGTTATACTTACTTTTAACATAAAATATATATTTAGGTCGGAGATACTAGTATCCTATATAGGAGAGAGACTGTAGTACTATATTAATATCATCACTGGTAATCTGCAATTTTGGGGTGGTGTGGTGATGCTCTCTCCTTACAAGACATAAACCTCAGTATTTTTATATTTTCTTTAAAAAAACCCCTCCTCTTCCTCTTTTCCCGTGTTTTCATTACATACAGATCCAATAAAAAGTACCAATCCGAGCCGACACTTTACCCTCTCTACCTCTTTTTTCTTTCTGCCCCTCTTTTCCACTTCGTTCTCACCAACACACTCTCCGTCATTTTCTCTTCACTCACACTCCTCACTTTCCCACCTTTTTACTTCTTTCCCTTTTCCCTCTCTCTCACCAACCACACTCTTCCGTTCTTCTTGTTGCTTTGTTCTCTTCACACTCTCATTTTTCGTCGGTAACAGATCAAATCCATCATCAGTTTTCGTCTATGAACACTTAACCTAAATCATTCTTATCGCCACGTTTCTTTTCTTACTTAATCATGCACAAACACAATCCCAAATTTTATTCACATAGATAGAGGTAAGAAACCCGCAACTACATTGCATAGCTTCGTGTTAGTACTATATATTTAGATGTTTATAGCAATTTTATTATTGAACTAGGTTGATATTTTTTTTTAGGTTAATATTTTTCTTACGATTATTATAGATATATTCATCTTGGTATTATGGATCAAAAACCCTGGCCTTGGAGGAAAAAGTCATCAGAAAAAACAGTTATTACTGCTGAAAACACCAATCTCAATTCAAAAGAAAATGGAGAGGTAAGTAAGCAAGTTGATTTTCAGCATTAACTTGGTTATCTGTTTTGGTTTTTTACCACAAAGAACCGGTCCACTGGTATGACTAATCCAGTTCGGGGTCCATTCTGACATCAACTAGTTCCGGTTCAATCTCCGGTTGAACCTAATTTGTTTATATTCTGAATCTTACTTTTATATAGTTTTTTTTAATTTATTTTTTATTTTTCAATTGTTATGGAATCTTGTAAGTTTATATGATTATAGTATGAATGCATTGGATGCTTTTAACTTTCATTTGTCTTCATTTATTTATGTTACCTATTTTAGAGATACTTCATCAATTAATGTCTCACATTATTAGTAAGAGTGATATTATAGAATTATAGAACTCAGAAAGTTTTTTCCTTTTTCTTTTAATTGTTTTTTCTTTCTCCCTTTGTGCTGAAATAACAGATTTTGAAATGGACAAGAATTCTAGCTCTGTTGTGATAAAAATAATTGGTATTGGTATGTTTTTTTTCTTCGTGTTTTAGATACAAGCACTTCTAGCTGATAAAGAAGAATTGGAAAAAGATTTAAGAGAATTAAATAATAAGCTTGCTTTGGTAATCTCTGACTGTAATGCTAAAGATGAGCTGGTGAAGAAACAAACAAAAGTTGCACGAGAAGCAGTAGCAGGTAAATTCGGGCACGTCCCTATGTGTTCGTAGAATCACTTATGAGTGAAATTTTTTGGAGTACTTTTATCAATTTCTGTTAAAATCTTGCTTTGAAGGTTTGGAAAAAGCAAAAGATGAAGTGTTGTCTATGAAGCAAGATATGGATGAAGCATTGCAGCAGCGATTTGTTTACGAAGAAAGAGTAGCCCATTTGGACGGGGCTCTCAAGGAATGTATGCAGCAGTTACGATATGTTCGAGAAGAACAAGGGCAAAGGATTCATGATGCTGTGATGAAGGTTTCGAAAGAGTTTGAAAAAGAGTGCATGGTTTGGGAGGAGCAGTTATCCGAGACAAATAAAAGGCTGGCGAAAGCTGAGACCGAAAATTCTCACCTTAATAAATCCATTTTCGCAAGAGAGAAGTTGATTGAGGATCTGAAAAGACGATTGACTCAAGCTGAGGCAGATCATAGTGCACTAATGGTTAGATTAGAGTCCACTGAGAAAGATAATGCTTCTCTGAAGTATGAGGTCCGTGTTCTCGAAAAGGAGTTGGAGATCCGAAACGAAGAGAGAGAATTTAGTCGTCGGACAGCTGATGTTTCTCACAAACATCACTTAGAAAATGTTACAAAAATTGCCAAGTTAGAATCAGAATGTCAGAGGCTACGTGTTCTGGTTCGGAAACGGTTACCAGGTCCTGCTTCCCTTGCAAAAATGAAAAATGAAGTTGAAATGTTAGGACGAGATTCAGTTGAAATAAGAAGGAGCAAGTTGAACTCAACTAGTTCAACGGTTGAGTCGTCACTAAACAGTTCCCCCGGGACTCCCAATAGACGAATCAATACTTTGACAGAGCAGCTATATGCTGTGGAAGAAGAAAACAAAGCTTTAAAAGATTCACTAAATAAGAAAATGAATGAGCTCCAATTCTCAAGAGTAATGCTTTCTCGCACAGCTTCCAAACTTTTGCAACTCGAGTCACATAATGAAGAATCACCGAAAGGTCAAGTAGCTGCGGGGCTGCTTAGAAGTAACCTTATGTCACGTGAAATCTCTGTGGCATCAATGTCTGATATTGGCAGTGATGACAAGGTAAGCTGTGCCGAGTCCTCAGGTTCTGCATTGATTTCAGAATTGGAGCACTTCAGAAATGGAATACAAAAGGAAACATTGTCCTGCAGAAGCGTTGGAACTTCAGAAATGAATCTCATGGATGACTTTGCTGAAATGGAAAAGTTAGCAGTGACCTCTGTTGAAAACCCCCCTGAAATCTCTGGTGCTTCTTTGAAAGAAGTTAATGATATCAACGGCTTTTCAGAAACTGGGAAAATTGAGACTACCCCCGAAGTAGGAGGTAACGAGATCACTCCCGTGTCTGATCATATTCCAGACTTCTCAACATCAACTCAAAAAACACGCCTCCTTGATGAATTTAAGGATAATATTCCCAGTTGGCTTCAGGATGTAGTAAAAATGGTCCTGGAACAAAACAATGTCACTCACAAAAGTCCTGATAACACACTCGAGGATATTAGATTAGCTTTGAATAATCTAGATCCGCATGTCTTTGATTCGAACGAAGTTTCTGGTCATATGGACGGATCTGACCCTTCAAATAATTCTCTGGTGGTAGTTGCATCCGGTGATGTAAATGTCACTGATCTCTCATCAATGAAAAGAACAAAACAACACGCCGAGGAAGATTTGGGTAAATCAATAGGAAAGATAATCGAGCTTATTGAAAGAATCAGCTTGCCTGCTATGGATTGTGATAACTCAGATTCCTTAGGCACAAGTGATGAGAATACCCCCTCAGGAATGCCATCGGGCTACATGGTCCGTGTTTTCCAGTGGAAAACATCTGAACTCAGCAACGTTTTACAGCAATTTCTACACGTGTGTTATGATTTACTGAATGGCAAGGTTGATCATGATAAATTTGTGAAGGAGCTAACAACAGCTTTGGATTGGATAATGAATCACTGCTTTTCACTTCAGGATGTGTCTAGTATGAGAGATGCCATCAAGAAACAAGTTGAATGGGATGAGACACGAAGCGAAAGTGAAGCAGAATTTGGGATGATAGGTCATTTTGCAGAGGAAGATAAGTTGTATCATTCCGCAGAACAGTTTCCATGTTTTCCTCAAGTAACTACAAATGGTCACGATATTAAGAGTCGAGAAACATATTGTGACGAGGAAGAAGAAATTAATAGTATTAAAGGAAAATTGATCAGTGCTGAATCTCAAAAGGAAACATTGGAAGGGAGGCTTCAATCAGCTAACGATAAGGTTGAGTCCTTGACAGATCAACTTCAGAAGTCAGATAAAACTAACGACAGCTTGAGATTAGAGTTACAATCCATAAAAGAATCCAATGGAAAACTTGAGGATCAAATAAAAAATCACAATGTGATGAAATCGAATCTTGATGCACAGCATAAAGGGGCTGAATTAAAAGAGATCGGTCTCAAGGTTTTGGAATTAGAAGTGGAACTGGAGAACAAAAACCACTGTTGTGAAGAATTAGAGACTAGATGTCTTGAATTGCAGCTTCATCTTGAAAGGTACCAACAATCTTTAAACATTTATTTCAATTCAACATTTTTTTAATATTTAATCTTTAATTTCTAATTGAGGATTTGTTGCATATCCGATTAATGTTCGCAGCACGTCCAAGGAGTGCTCAAACCATGATATTAACCAGAAAGACAAGCCATTGCGAACGGTAAGTTTATCTCATTCTATTCCTTCTTCTCGACGAATCATAGTAAGATTACTAGTTCCTATGTTATATACTATGGAATATTTAATCAAAATGATGCACAATTCCACTAAATAAATTTAATAATTCAAATGCTATTAAAATTGAAGTATGAGTTGACTATTCATATCGGTACTGTATTGAAGAGTGTTGATCAATCCTACAGGACTTGGAAATAACAGCTGCATCAGAAAAGTTGGCCGAGTGTCAAGAAACCATCCTTAATCTTGGGAAGCAACTGAGGTCATTGGGTGCACCAAAGGATGCATCTCTTTTTGACAATGTCGTTGCGGCGCAACATAACGATACCCCATCCACCACGACGACGACGACAAAAAAAATGAATCCTAGCCATGTTCCCCCTAAAGTTATGAAAACGAAGAATCGATCTCTGCTTGACCAAATGCTGTCTGATGATGATTCTAAAGCAAAGGTTTCTAAAGTAAGCGACCGCAACACCAATCTCACCACCATTCCAGATTTTGTAGAGCCTCTGGAGAAGATTTTAGCTTTGAACGAATTTAGAGATGGCAATGACAGTGCTGCTGCTAATGATTTGGCCTTTGTACCTACTAAGAAACCAGGAAGAGGAAGCTTGTGGAAAAAGTTATTATGGAAAAAGAAGAAAAGTGCCAGCATGAAAACATCCCTTCCATTGAACACGTGAAAGGTTCGTTCATAAAATAAATTGTAGTGTTGTTCAATGCCAGTGTTTCCTGAAAGAATGAAATTATATTTCTTTTCTATTATTTTTTTTTGAAGGGATTTGGGTTGGTGTTTTTTGTGTTGGTTTGATCTTTGTATATAAACGTCTTAAAACTAACAACAGAAAGTTCATGTCGTCCTAATTATATGACTATTTTTTAATTATATTTGATCGTCTCTTTTTATGCACGTCACTCAAGTAGTTGGAACTTGGAAGAAAATTTGCAATTTTACAATTGATTAATTTAATAAATGTTGATTGAATCATGAACTAATAACTTATATTCAACGCTCCCAATTAGCACATACGTGTTGATCGATCCCACTCGCCTAGGATGCCAATGGACTATAATTAATCTATAACCATAAATTATTATAATTAGTTAGTAAAACTAATTGCTATAAAGTAGTTATTAACTGATTATTTTTATAACCAATTTGATAATTAGTTTTGATTTAATATTTTTTAAAATTATTTTTTGTGAGAAATAAAAATTCTCTTATTTTTTATTTTCAGAAAAAAATATTTTTATTTATTTACTGATTTTCTTTTAAATTTTATACTTCAAAAGAAATATTTATTTTTTCAAAATTATTTTTTGAAAAAATTATAAAAAATGTTTTCAAATTAAAAAAAAAAAATTAATTAATTTAATTTTTATTTTAGATATGAATGTCTAAATTATGGATTTGATTAAAATCATATTAATAACTTGTCCAAAATATGAATTTGGTTAAAAGCATACTAATAATTAACCAATTTTTAATAATCGAATTTGAATATAGATATGAATAATTTAAATAATCGATTTATTTGAGCACCCCTACACTCGTCCATACACTAATTAATTTGTTTAAATAGAACAAATTTTAAATCTAATAGTTAAGTTGGTTGAATTGTTAAATGTGAATTAACAACAAAACTCCATTGATTGATGCACAAGAAGAAAAAGATGAAAAGAGTTCCAGAGAGAAATGGAGAGAGAAGAAGTATTGATGCACAAGAAGAAAAAGATGAAAAAAGTTCCAGAGAGAAATGGAGAGAGAAGAAGTAGTTAACTGAATTTCTAAATCTCAAATTATGTAACTAACTTTGGGTTTATATACCCTAACCCAAATTCAAATGCAAACTCAAATGAAATTGAAAATAAGTATCTTGAATTTGAATTACATTTAACACAATCTCTTAATTCATATTCAAGATTAAAAATCAATAACACTAATTTCATCCTTCAAATTGATGAAGTGTTCAATTTTGATTGTCTTAATCAGGATATCTGCAAGTTGCTTCTAAGTGCTGAACAATCTCAAGTACTCCATTCTAAACTTGATTGCGCAGAAAATGATACTTAGCATCAATGTGCTTGTTTCTTCCATGCAACATTGGTTTCTTGGCAAGACTTATGGCTGATTTGTTGTCTATCATCACCCTGACAGGTTTGCCCACCTTGAACTTCAGTTCCTGCAGCAAATTCATAAGCTAAACAACCTGACACGTTGACAAAGCACCAACTATGTATTCTGTTTCACAAGTTGATAGCGTAACCACTGGTTGACTCTTGAAGCACAATGAAATTGGAGCTCCTAGATACATAAACATGTATCTTATAGTGCTTCTTTTGTCTATTATGTCACCAAATCAGTCAGAGTCTGAATAACATATCAACTCAGCATTATCTGATACTCTAGATGAAAACATAATTCCATACCTCATAGTCCATTTTACATACCTTAGTATCCCAACTGCAGCTTGGTAATATGATCACTTTGGCTTACTAATAAACCTACTTACCATTTCAAATGCATAACATATGCCAGGCCTAGTGTTACATATATATCTCAGAGAGCCAACTATCTGCTTAAAGGTTGTCCCATATACATCCTCACCATCAGCATCAAAATCTAGTTTATGGGTTATCTTAGCAGGCGTAACTGCTAACTTATAATTCATCAGTTCAAATCTCTTCAAAAACACTAGTTCATACTTCAGTTGGTGTACAATGATTCCCTTATTAGAGTGTAAGATCTCCATTCCTAAAAAATATACCATGTTTTCAAGGTTAGTCATATCAAATGCATTCATCAACACCTTTTTGAACTTGTTTATCTCAGAAGTACAATTCCCTGTCAGTAGTATGTCATCTACATAAAGGCACATCACATTTCCATTAGAAGTATGTTGCACATACACACAATGCTCCATTTCACATTTTTTGAATCCTAGATGCTTGAAAAATAAATCAATTTCCAAATTCCATGCCCTTGGAGCTTGTTTAAGCCCGTACAAGGATTTGTGCAACATGTACACCATCCCTTCTTTATTCTCAACCACAAATTCAGGAGGTTGTAACAAATAAAATTATTCTTGCAATAAACCGTTTAGAAAACCTGATTTTATATCTAAATGTATCAGAGGTAATTCTTATTTGCAATTATAGCAATAACCAATCTTATGGTTTCATGTCTAGCTATAGGTGTAAACATTTCAAAGTAGTCTAAACCAGACTTTTGTAGGAATTCTCTAGCTACTATCCTTGATTTATGCTTGGCAACTGAACCATTTGGCTTCAGTTTTGTCTTGAAAACCCATCCCACAATGACGACTTTCTTGTTCTTAGGTAGAACAGTCAATTCACATGTCTTGTTTCTACTGATTGCCTCAAGTTCTTCCTTCATGGCCTTCAGCTACACATTTTTTTGAGTGCCTCAATGATGTTGACAGGTTCAAAGTCCACTGTAATGGTACATTATATGATTTCCCCTTCAGATTCAATCTCAATATCATGCAACAACTTGAAGTCTGCAACTCTCCTTGGTATTTGTCTAATTCTCTGTGGCCTCTAGAACTGCACAAGTTCACCTTCAGAGAGAAGTCCACCATCAGAGGTAGGGTCACCTTCAGAAGGTCCACCTTCAGAGGTTGGATTACCTTTAGAGGATGGATTACCATCAGAGACTGAATTACCTCCAGATTCAGACTCACCTTCAAAGTCATACTCACTTTCAGAGTTAGAGTCACCTTTGAAGGCATACTCACCTTCAGAGTCGGAGTCACATTCAAAGGCAAAATCTTCTTCAGAGGCAAAATCTCCTTTAGAGGCATGATCAGACTCTAGTGTTGACATTGCACTAGAGTTAGACTCAGACTTGTTCCAATCTCATGTTTCTGATTCTTTCACTATGACATCTCTGCTGACTTCAACTTTGTTGGTGACTGACCAATAGAGCTTATATGCACATGTAAAGTGATAACCTATAAGTAACATGACTCTACTTCTGTCATCCAATTTCCTTCTAGTAGTATCTGGTATATGGTTGTAATATACAAAACCAAATGCCTTGAAATGGATCGCACCTTTCTTTCTTCCAATACACTTCTCCAGAGGAACTACTTCCTTTAACTTCTTTATTGGACATCTATTGAGCACATATGTTGACGTGGATATCGCCTCACCCCACAATGTGTGAGGTAAATTCTTTTCTTTAAGCATGCTCCTTGTCATGTCAAGCAAAGTTCTATTTCTCTTTTTAGCAAGACCATTGTGTTTTGGAGTGTATAGAGAAGTCACCTCATGCTTAACTCCATGCTCCTTACAACACTTCTTGAACTCTGTTAAATTAAGATCACCTCCACCATCGGTTTTGATGATCTTTAACCTTTGTCCACTTTGATTTTCAGCCTTCACTTTGAACTTCTTTAACTCAATAAACACCTCGTGCCTGAACTTTATGAGTGCTACCCATGTCATTCTTGTTAAGTCATCCACAAACGACAAAAAATACTTATTTTCTCCAAGTGAAGGTACCTCAAATGGCCCACGTACATCATAATGCATCACACCTAAAACATGAGTTGATCTTGGAGACATTTATGATGAGAGTGGCAATCTTGGTTGCTTTCCTCTCATGCATATATCACATGATTTATCTGGTGCCACAATCTTTGGAATTCCATATACCAAATTCATTGAACTCATATGTCCTAAGCTTCAGAAGTTCAGATGTGCCAATCTCTTATGCCACAACTCACTTCCCCCTTCAACACTTGTCATACTAAGGCATTGAGTATCTATTGTTACAACATTCACCTTGAATCCCCTGTTTCTTTCTATTTCAGACTACATAATCAACTTTAGATTACATTCATACAACTTCAAGAGACTGTCCCTCATGGTTATTGAAAAACCTTTTTCAAGAAGCTGACCTACACTCATCAGATTTCTATTCATGCTAGGAACATATCATACATAATTAATCAACACAGTCTTTCCATTCTTCAATTTCACTCTGGCATTTCCCATTCCTTCAACATTCAGATACTCATCATCAACACATAAGATCTTGGACTTTCTACCAGAGTCAAAATCAACTAGCCATTGCTTCTTTCTGGTTAGGTGATTTGAGCAGCCAATGTCCCTATAACACTAGTCCACCATTTTCACCTTCATTCTCAGATGCCATAAATAGCACATGTTCGTCCTCATAATATCCTCTGTCTAGTTGGTTTCTTCACCCTTGCGTTCCTTGTTTAGCCAACAATCAGCAACAAAATGGCCAAACATGTTACAATTGTAGCACTTAACCTTTCTCTTATCAGACTTCTCCTTTCCCTTTTGAACATTTTTATATTTCTTCTCATTTGATTTAGAGAGTTTTGACTTTTGAGCACCACCATCATTATTTTTGTTGTTCTCTAGCCATGCTTGCTTCTTGTTCTTCTTGACAAAATAAGCCTTCAGAGCCTTTTCTGTTTCCCTTTCAGAGTTTCTTTCAATCAGACACAGTTTTTGTGCCTCTAAACTACTATGAAGCTCTTCAATTTTCATGGTGCTAATGTTTTTCAAATGTTCTATGGCTACAACTGCATATGCTTTTGATTGGCTGCATTTTATGGCAAAACATTGGAGTATGTATGAATGTCATAACTGATGTTATGACATACATGAAGAGTGTTCTGCAGGG